CTACCTTTTTCGATTATTTTTTTAAAATCAAGACATGAGACAAAAGAACAGGGCCTGGGGTAGGCTCAGTGCGGAGTACTGGGCTCCCTCCAGACAAACACTGCTGGGATGCTCTTTAGGGAGATAGCGGGGGATGGAGGAGGGGTACCCAGGTCCCACCACTGCAAGATGTACCCTTAAGGTAACTGTATTAGAACAGTTGGGACTCTTAAGTTGTAAGTGACAGAAACCCAGCTCAAACCGGGTCCAGAAGCTCAAATGATCTCTCCATCTCCACTCAGCTTTGCATAAACTACACCCCCCCCACCCCCCAGTGAGATCATGCCCTTTATCCATTTTATGGATGAGGAGATGGAGGCACAGAGAGGTCGGATCATTGCTCGAGGTCACACAGCCAACATACTCCATGGCAGGGCCAGGCTTCGAAGTCAGTCCTCTGGTTCCAGGGCCCCCACCCTTAAGGTCTCTACCTACAGATGAGTGTGAGGCTGGAACCCAGTGTTCTGTTCCCCCCTAACCTGCCACGCGTGGCTCTCCTGTCCCTACAGTGGCTGCCGGAGAGTGCAAGGTATGATGTGCTGTCGGGGAACCAGGAAAAGGCCATCGCCACCCTGAAGAGGATCGCGACAGAAAATGGAGCCCCCATGCCACTGGGGAAACTCATCATTTCCAGACAGGTCAGTCCCTGGCCCACCGATCCTGTGGCTTGTGTGTCCCTGTGCGGGCAGGGGTGCACCTGTGCGTGGGTGGGGCCTGCGTGTGTGTGTGTGATGGCGGGAGTCCATGGAGTGGGTGGGGGTGCGGGGGGGCAGATCCTGCAAGGTGAACCTGGCAGCTTCAATCGGTGTGTTTTCACTGCCAAGCCCTGAAAAGTGCCACCTGGAGAGTTTATCCAGCGATTAGAGAAATGTCACGCAGTGCCCACTAATGGATCCCGTAACTACTCCTGCTTCGGTTTCACCTTTCAGCGCCCATTACGTCTGATTAGCAAATGTGATTGATCGCCAAAGGCTGGACAATAAAACCACATTAGAAAGTGCCGTGATAGGCTTAGGTCCAGGGCGCCAAACTGCACTTGGAAGGCGCCCTTAATGGATGGTGCATCGCGCGGATGGCAACACCATCAGGGAATCCACCCCAGTGAGAATGTATGGGCACCTCCCACGCGCATGCGCACCGAGCGCGGGGGGTGGCGGGTGCGAGGTGCGAGGTGCGGGGAGAAGGCAGTCAGATTAAAGGCTGCGGTTCCTGCCCTCAGACCCTACAAGGAAATTATCTTTCAAAATAAAATAATATTTCTGATTGTTTTTTATATTGTGCAAAAAGAACTGGATGAAATTTCCCCACTTTGAGGGGAGGTGTTTTGCATGGTGAGACTGTACACAGGCCAGAGGACACACCCAAATCCACTTCCAGAAACAGGATGGTCCAGGAAGGTCCAAGGAGGTGGTGAATTCTGAGACAAGCAAAAAGAGGAGAGAAGGGCAGACCGATTTTCCAAAAGCAGATTTTCCTGAATTAACTTGCTAATGTATCCATTTACCCAAAATGTGTCTTGAGGATTACTCTTTTTAAATATATTTAGTAAATAGGAATATATTTTCTCTATGTACCTATTCATACATTTATTCATCATATATTCTGCCTAATATTCCTAAATATAGTCAATAAATGCATTCTCAAATATATCCGATAAGCATATTTAATGAATGCTGTCTTTTCATTGAAGAATACATTACCAAGATATTTTTATTCATGAAGGCAATACTCAGAGACTAAACCACGTGTGGCCTGTAATTTTTTCCCCCATTTTCACTTTTAGCATGTTTAACTAAGTAAGCATTTCTCAAACTGCTACTGAGAAAAAGAATGTTCATTAAATATATCGAAGAAGAATATAATCAGTCATAGAATATATTTTTTAAAAGAATAGGGCAAAGATTTGATAAGTTAGCAAATTATATGACATTGGCAACTGGGCCATTTAGCTAATCTGTCTCTTGGCAAATGGCTTTCGGTGACTGATTGGCACATTAATTTTTGTCACCTGAGGGGTGAGACGAGATATGGTTGGACACCCCTTGGGCTGGTTTGCTGCTCCCTGGGGCCATGGAATTACCTAAGAGGTGTCAGGGGGCCCAAGCCCAAGGGGTCTGCTTCCCAGCTCCGGGATTCCAGCTTGGGGTGGGGCTTCAGAATGTGTCAATCCTTCGGAGGGAAGCCTGTGGACATTGCTGGGTCCTGGAGGGGCCTAATTGGCTGCAATGGGCTGGAGATTTGAGTCCTGGGTCCTTGGAGCCCGAGTGTCCAGCCCACGAGAAACCTCCCTCTCAGCCACGGGTGTCCACCAGTCTCCGGCCACCAGCCAGTACCCACGCACCTGCATGTTTTTGTCTTGAAACAGGAAGACCGAGGCAAAATGAGGGACCTTTTCACGCCCCATTTTAGATGGACAACCTTGCTGCTGTGGTTTATATGGTAAGAGCCATTTGTTGACATTTTGATCCCCTTCGTCTGTGCCCTGTTTTGGGAGTGGGGGTGGGTTTGTTTGAACACAAAGCACAGAGAACTTTTTGATCTCGGGGAACGTTTGCAAAATTCAGTGGTTGGAGCATCACTTTCCTGGCCTCTGTCTCACCCAGATAGCGCCTGTACTATTATTTTCCCAGTTGTTTTCTTTCATTTGACTCACTTTTTACTCAGATAAATGCATTTGAAAAGGAAACTTTATATGTCTTCTTTAAAGGAAAAAAAAACACACACACCTTAATTTCAGGCCATAGATAGAAGGCGCCCTTAAAGATAAATACAGTGAAAAGTTGCCAGGTTGATAGTTTGCCAAGGCCTGAGTGGCTGTATTTAAGAGATAGAGAAACAGACAGGGAGGGGAGGTGCTGAGGACGCACTAACATAAGCAACTCATCACTTGAGACAGAGATACAATCAAAAGAATTGAAAGGAAATTTAAAAGGGATTTTTTTTTCCCACAGTGAGATTTCATGTTGATGCTGTATCAGTTCCCCGCTCCACGCATATTGCCTTGGGTACCACCAGTGGCACAGGCCCCATAGTTTGGGAAGCATCGATTTGGTTGCCAGGGGCATTCTTAGAACTTTCAGTCCTGATCATATTCTATTTTTCTTAATAACAGGGGTGGGGGTGGGGCTTTTAACTCCACAACCAGTCAAATTTCAGCTACTCTTCCAACTCTCTTTCTAGCCAGCCGTGTACACAACGTCAACAGTGCAGGCGCTGGGCCTGGGTCAGGCTTTGCGTTCTGTTTCAACCAGTTCTCACCTTTCCTATTCACCTTTGCACAGAGGTGCTAGTTAGCAGGGGTGGGGAGGCCAGTGAAAGTGGCTAATTGTAGGGAGGAGGAAGGGAAAACTTTGATAATATATAGAACGCGGCTCCATTTACAGAATTCCATACACAGAACTCTGTCCCCGCCTTCCTGAGAGATGAAACAACTCACCAAGCACTCATGAAACACCTGCTGTGTGCCAGTCTGTCGGATTTTTAAAGGCGTTTGGAGGGGTGCAGAGTTGAGGGTATCTGTCTTTGAGAGCACGTAATTCTGTTGAGCCGACACTAGGTGAATACGGAAGCAATGAAGTAGAGGCTAATTTTAGCGCACTGGAGAAATCACTAAATTTGCCAGCACATATTATAGTCCAAGGAAATGAATCAGTGGCGTCTGGTTGTGATGAGGTTCCCACATACTGTACTGGATGAGAATGTTCGGTCCTCCAGACTTGAGTATCCGGGTTCCTGGGACAGTCGGGAATTAGTGAACTGCCTCATTCTGACCTGAGGGTCTAGTGAAGTCTGCAGACTCCACCCCTGTACTGGGCACACAGCAGTTGTTTGATAAATGACTGGTGTATTGATTTAGCTCTCAGGAATTCCGGGAGAGAGCTGGAGCCCAGTTCTGTATGTTCTGTATATTAGTAAAGCTTCCGCCCCCTCCTCCCCTCTCCAAGTGGACCGACCAGACCAACTCAACCCAGAAGCCCTGACAGGTGTCAACGCTGTGCTTTCTTCTAAATGTTGGTCCCCCCAGCCCTCCCCCTATTGCCAGTTGAGTAAACAGCCTTGGGGGTGGCATGTCTGTGGTAGAGTCCAGCTCTTGATCTTTCAAAGGACACAGGATTAATCCCCTTTATCACATCACTGTGGTTTGCACCCGCCATCTTCCCGCTCCAGGGCCCAGGAAAGGCCCGGAAGGCCCATGTCTTTACCGCTCCTGCTTCTCTCCTGGCAGGTTTTCCAATGCGTTTTCTTACTACGGATTAGTCCTGCTCACCACGGAGCTCTTCCAGGCAGGAGACGTCTGCAGCAGTGAGTATGGCAGCCCGTTCACCCTTTACCACGCCTGCTCCCAGCACACGCCACACACACACTCCCACCCCAGGTTCTGCCCTCACAGGGCCCGGCCTTGCACACATCCCACGGACTTTACCCCACAAACTCCAGGGAGAAAGTTTGTGCAAAATCTGAGCCTAGAAGATCTGGGCTGTGGTTTCCACGATGCTGTACAGAGACCTAGACCAGTGATGGCGAACCTTTTGAGCTCGGAGTGTCAGCATTTTGAAAAACCCTAACTTAACTCTGGTGCCGTGTCACATATAGAAATGTTTTGATATTTGCAACCATAGTAAAACAAATGCGTATATTTTTGATATTTATTTTATATATTTAAATGCCATTTAACAAAGAAAAATCAACCAAAAAAATGAGTTTGCGTGTCACCTCTGACACGCATGTCATAGGTTCGCCATCACTGACCTAGACAGTCCTGTCGTTATAGAAGTTACACGACAGCAGAGTCACTCTTTTTAAAAAAAAAAATTTTTTTTTATTTATTTCAGAGAGGAAGAGCAAGGGAGAGAGAGAGAGAAACATCAATGATGAGAGAGAATCATGGATTGGCTGCCTCCTGCAGGCCCCCACCGGGGGTCAAGCCCACAACTCGGGCACGTGTCCTGACTGGGAATGGAACCGTGACCTCCTGGTTCATAGGTTGATGCTCAACTACTGAGCCACGCTGGCCGGGCAAAAGTCATATCTTACCGAGCTCCATGAAGTACAGCACTGAGTTCAACCGCTAGGACTCTGCACATTAAGTCTGAGAACCAGGTTGGGGCTCAATCCTGGCCACACAACAGAATCGCTTGGGGGAGCTTTTCAACAATGCCAGCGCCAGTTGAACAATGCCCAGCCCAATTTCATCGGCATCCCTGGGGTGGAGCCGTGGGCTATAAAAGCTTCCCAGGCGATTCTCTTGTGTAGCTGGAGGTGGGAACCACCGGACAAAAGAAACAAATAAAAAGCAAAGTCTAGATGCCAGTGCCTGGGCTTTCAAATCGTTCTGTCCTTAAGATGATACTAACTTCCTAGCACTGAACCCAGGGTGGGGGATAAAGGGGTCAGGTTCTCGCGTGTCTGCAGGATTTGCCCAATTATCTTTTTCTGTGTTAAGCCGCTTTCATCGTAGCTAATGGTTTTGTTTGTTGGGTTAAGGATTTAGTGAGATGGCGGAGTCACATCTCACTGGGGGGTGTGGGCGTCTAAATTAACTGCTCTGAGGAAGCAGCTTGGTTGTAGGTTTGGAGTTTGGGGTTGATGGAGCGTAATTGCATGCCCCTCACAGTGGACCTGCTTCAGCCAAGCAGAGGGCCCGGTGGAAGGTTACAAAGCAGGGGTTGGCAGCTCTTTCTATGAAGGGCCAGACAGTGAACGCTGTAGGCGTGGTGACCGGGTGGCTCGAACACTGTGGCCATGAAGCAGCTACGGGCAATGTGTAACAACAGGCATGGCTTGTGGTCCGAGAAAACCTTATTTGTGAGCACAGATTTGAATTTCATGTCATTTTTATGCCACGAAGTGTTCTTCTCTCTCTCTCTCTCTCTCTCTCTTTCTCTCTTTTTTATTAACATATTTTTATTGATTTCAGAAAGGATGTGAGAGAAAGAGAGGTAGAATTAACATATTTTTGATTTCAGAAAGGATGTGAGAGAAAGAGAGGTAGAAACATCAGGGATGAGAATCATTGATTGGCTGCCACTTCTACGCCCTCTACTGGGGATCAAGCCCACAACCCGGGCACGTGCCCGTTGAGAATCATTGATTGGCTGCTTCTACGCCCTTTACTGGGGATCAAGTCCACAACCCGGGCACGTGCCCTGATCTGGAATCGAACTGTGACCTCCTGGTTGCTGGGCCACGCCGGCCGGCCGGCCGGGCTCTGTGTTTAGTTTTAAAATTTAATAATTTTTAAAATGTAAAAACTACTCTTACCCCGTGGACCAGGCAGAAACAGGCAGGAGCTCAGATTCGGCCCCCAGCTGGTCATCCCCAACCTCATTAAAAAGCTCTCTCTCTTATACCTGGTGGGAAAGAAATTCTGTGGAACAAGTTCACAGCCAGAAACCAGGGAGCCCAAGTGCTGGCGCCAAGTAGCTGTGGGACCCTGGGCAAGTCATTCACTCAGTATTTTCTTCGTACCTGCTAGGTATGGTCCAGGTGTTAGGATATATCAGTGAACACAAAAGACAAATCTCCTGGCCTGTGAGCTTGCATTTTGGTGTAGATAGAGGACAAAGAGAGAAAGAGAGAATAGCGAAATAAGGAAGGAAATTATATAGTGTGCTGGGAAGTGGTCGGTGTGTTACAGGAAAAACTTTAAAGAAGTGTCTGAGCACATTCTTATGCACACCTTGCTTTCATTCTCTCGACCATCTTGCCCAGTGATTTTATTAGCCCCAATTTTAAAAAATATATTTTTATTGACTGCAGAGTGGAAGGGAGAGGGAGAGAGAGATAGAAACATCAATGATAAGAGAGAATCATTGATCCGCTGCCTCCTGCACACCCCCCACTGGGGATCGAGCCCACAACCCGGGCATGTGCCCTGACCGGGAATCAAACCTGTGACCTATTGGTTCATAGGTCAATGCTCAACCACTTGAGCCATGCCAGCCGGGCTGTCCCAGCTTTTTGAGGAAACGAATACTCAGAGAGATGAAGCTCTAGAATGCTGATCGGGATTCAGACCTGAGGCTGTCTGATTCCTGAGCCTGGCTGGGTGCTTTTCACGGCACACCAGCCAAATCATAGTCTGCAGAGAAGGAGGTCTGGGGAGCAGGAGAGTGTGGCTCAAGGCTCTGCACATGGCTCATCCTCTCCCTCTGCCGCCCACCTCCCAGTTTCCAGCAGTAAGAAGGCAGTAGAGGCCAAGTGCAGCCTGGCCTGCGAGTACCTGAGTGAGGAGGACTACATGGACCTGCTGTGGACCACCCTGTCCGAGTTCCCAGGTGAGGGACGCGTGGGAGGTGGGGCCGGGCAAGGAAGCCTGAGAAGGTGGCGGCTGTCCAGTGCCACAGCCTTTTTTTTTTTTTCCCCTCTTTTGGCAAAGCTGATGAGATTTTTATGGTTAAAACAGTCCAATTAGTCCAATTAGTACGATGCATTTCCGTTGGATTCCCAGGTAGTGCCACATTCCTGGTGCCACCTGGAAGCAAATCCCATTTCCGGGGGAGCTGGGATTGTTTTTTCCACCCTGAGCTACACATTGTCAAGAACTGTGAAGGGGCTGAGATTTCACTCCACGCGAAGGCTAACGAGTTTAAGCTGCCCAGTTTCGTGCATGCTGGCAGGAGACACGAAACTCCTGGGTCAGAGACAAACGGCTCCTGAGCACAGCAAACAGCACGAGCAGTATATTAATGTCAGGTCCTCCTGCCCCAAGTCCCAGGGGGATGATGAAGAAGGGGCCAGGGAGATACTACAGTGCAGTGGATCTGCCCACAGCTGAGGAATTCGGGAATCTATATCTATATATATAAAAGCCTAAGGAACCTAATAACAGGTCAACTAGTCGCTATGAGGCATTGACCACCAGGGGACAGATGCTGAACACACAGGATTGGCTCCCTGTTGTCTGGATTGGGCCTGTGGGGATCGGACTCTCTCCTGTCTGGATCGGGCCTGCAGGGATCGGGCTGAAAGCAACCTAACAACGGGTCGACCAGTCGCTATGAGGCATTGACCACCAGGGGACAGACGCTCAACGCACAGGATTGGGCTCCCTGCTGTCTGGATCAGGCCTGCAGGGATCGGGCTGAAACTGGCTATCCGACATCCCCCAAGGGGTCCAGGATTGCGAGAGGGCACAGGCCAGGCCAAGGGACCCTACCAGTGCACAAATCTGTGCACCGGGCCTCTAGTCTTTTATAATAGGCTGCCAGCAACCTGCCCAGCCTGCGTCCCAGAGAGCGAGACATCACCTTTATTATATTGAACAGTAAACAAACATGCCCTTCACTTGAGAAGGAGACTATATTTTTATCTTTCAAGGCTGTTTCTATACAAACAGCCTTGAAATGATAGCCTGGAACGAAAGGGCAGCTAGTACCTCTCTCTGCTCGAAAGATGTAGAGAAATATGAGAGACCAACAGAGAATTGTCCGCCAACACCAGTCACACTGGAAAGGACCAGGGGGATGTCAAAAAATCCAAACCTGCCCATATAGCAATGGTGATCTATCTCTTTCCTTCAGAAGGAATAGCAATGATTATAATGATAGTAATACGTCATATTTATTGAGCGCTTACTGTATTTCAGGCACGGTGCTAAATGTTTCACAGATAAGTTCTCATTTAATCATTAAATCTAATTTAATCTCATTTAACTATACAATCTGAAGTTGTATAGTTATTCCCTTTTTAAAAAATATTTTTATAGATGTTTATTTTTTATAGCATTTCAATGTTTTTATTGATGAGAGAGAGAGAGGAAGGGAGAGAGAAACATCCATGTGAGAGAGAGGAAACATCAATCAGTTGCCTCCTGCATGCACCCCAACTGGGGAATCCAATCCACTACCTGGATATGTGCCCTGGCCAGGAATTGAACCCACCACCTTTTGATGTTTGGGACAACGCTCCAACCAACTGAGCCACACTGGCTAGGGCTAGTTCTTCCCTTTTTACAGCTGGAGGCAGTGAGACTGAAGAGGTGTCGCAGAAACTGATCCTGCAACTTGCTGCTGCCAGGATCTGCATCTCTGTGCCCCAGGGCTGTCTCAGGAGGAATGGAAAGCCAAAAAGCAAGCAAAGTGGCCGGAAGTGCCAGGGAATTAACGCCGGGGAACAGCCTTCAGCCAATGACTGAAAGCTCATGTGGGGCAGGATCTGCTCTCACGCTCACTCACGCGGTTGTTGGCAGGATTCGGTTCCTCCAGGGTTGTGGGGCTGAGGGCCTCAAGTTCCTCATTGGCTGTTGGCCAGAGGTCACCTTCAGTTCCTTTCCAGGTGGCCAACAAGGCAAGCACATGAGAAGAGCCAGGGAGAGAGAGAATGCCCCCCCCCCGACCCCCCACAAAGTCACAGCCTTTATAAAAAAACTAGAGGACTGGTGCACGAATTTGTGCACGGGTGAAGTCCCTCGACCTGGCCAGTGATTGGGGCTGATTAAGGCCGGCTGGGGGGAGGGACCACGGGAGGTTGGCCAGCTGCAGGAGGTTGGCTGTGGGAGTGCACTGACCACCAGGGGGCAGCTCCTGCATTGAGCGTCTGCCCCCTGGTGGTGAGTGCTAGCTACCAGCCAGTCGGTCAGTTGTCTGGTAGTAACGGTCGCTTCTTAGGCTTTATATATAGATATATTGTTTTATTGATTTCAGAGAGGAAGGGAGAGGGAGAGAGAGATAGAAACATCAATTGATGAGAATCATCGATCGGCTGCCTCCTGCACGCCCCACACTGGGGATTGAGCCTGCAACCCAGGAGTGTGCCCTGACTGGGAATCGAACCATGGCCTCCTGGTTTATAGGTTGATGCTCAACCACTGAGCCGTGCTGGCCGGGCAGTCACAGCCTTTTATAACCTCATTTCAGAAGTGACATTCCATCACTTGTGCTGTATTCTCGTCATTAGAAGTGAGTCACTAGGTTGGCCCCCTCTCAAGGCCATTGCACAGGGTGTGACTGCCAGGAGGTGGGGGTCCCTGGGAGCCACGTCAGGAGCTGCCTGCCATGGTGCCCTGCTCCCTTCCAGGTGTCCTGGTGACTCTGTGGATCATTGACCGCCTGGGCCGCAAGAAGACCATGGCGCTGTGCTTTGTCGTCTTCTCTCTGTGCAGCCTCCTGCTGTTTATCTGTGTCGGCAGGTGGGTGGTGACACCAGCTCTCTCTGGCCAGCAGGCTGATGTCTCAGGTCCTGGGCAGTGGCTCTTTGGGCCTGTGGGCCGTAGATTGCACCCGCTGGGGGTCATCAGAGGGATTCCCTCCAGCCCCTCCCTAGCGCTGAGGCTCTTGGCTGCCTGAAAACTGACCAAAAGATCGGGCTCAAAGTTGGGGCCCCCGGTGGGGGTTTGGTCCAGGTTCTCCTCCAATGCCATCACATTTTTAAAAATATATCTTATTGATTTTTTACAGAGAGGAAGGGAGAGGGATAGAGAGTTAGAAACATCAATGAGAGAGAAACATCGATCAGCTGCCTCCTGCACGCCCCCTACTGGTACGCCCCCCAAGGTACATGCCCTTGACCAGAATCGAACCTGGGACCCTTCAGTCCGCAGGCCGACGCTCTATCCACTGAGCCAAACCAGTCAGGGCAATGCCATCACATTTAGACCTTTGTTATTATCTCCCAGTAAAATCATGCATATAGCTGTTGGATTTATGTATGGGTTTAAGCTGTTCATTTGTCCCATGGAAATATTTTAAATTGGCCCTGTGTTATAATCCCTTTTCGGCTCAAAATGTGGAAGTGGCCTGTGCCTCTTTTGACCTGTGAGAGGCCCCAGACAAAGCCTGGTGAGGAATATGGGGAAGGTCTGAAGATACAGCTTAGAGCAGTGGTTCTCAACCTTCTGGCCCTTTAAATACAGTTCCTCATGTTGTGACCCAACCATAAAATTATTTTCGTTGCTACTTCATAACTGTCATGTTGCTACTGTTATGAATCGTAATGTAAATATCTGATATGCAGGATGGTCTTGCGACCCCTGTGAAAGGGTCGTTCGACCGCCAAAGGGGTTGCGACTCACAGGTTGAGAACCACTGGCTTAGAGCATGCAATGCTGATATTCTGAGATGTTTATGGGAACAATAGAACAGAAGGTTGGGGATCAGGATTCTCCTAAAAATACTGAACAGAAGTTGACTTTCCTTGGCTCAGTTGGTTCCTGGCTCAATACCTGCCACACCGGGTCCTTTCTGGACTTCTGATTATTTATATCACTTCTCCCCAACCTGGGCGCACAGATGTTTCTATCTCTCAGCCTGGTGCTTTGGAGAAGGAGAAACCTTTAAAAAGCAGGCCTTAGGGAGGGCACTGGGATGTGAGTGCCCGCGTGCCTGCATCAATTATGTTGGGTGGAGGTGGGCTTTGCCCATTTCTGGGGTGTAAATTCTGCCTGGGCAGATACGACTTTGCTGAAACAAGCTGACAGAAAAAAATACCTGCTCGACTTTTTTTGTTTTGTTTTGTTTTTCTCCTCCTAGAACGATGCTCACTCTGTTACTCTTCGTTGCAAGAGCGTTTATTTCTGGAGGCTTCCAAGCGGCCTATGTTTACACACCTGAGGTAGGAGGGGTGTCTGGGAGCAGGTGGGCAGTGAGGGGGGTACAGAAATGTGATCACATCTAGTGGGTGGAGGCCAGGGATGCTGTTAAACATCCTACAGGGCACAGGACCGCCCCCTCCCCGCCCCCATGGAGCCTGGGCACGTGGCCACTCCTGGGGATGAACTGAGACGCCCTGTAAGCATCTCAGTCTCTCTCTGTATGAAATGCCATTAACGTCCATGACCAGTGAGTGCTTCAAGGTCAACTAGTGGAAAGTGGCAGGTAGGACAGTCCCTGGACCCTGAGCGGAGTTCCTGGTGGAGTCTTTGGCGACCACCAAGGGGGCAGGAAGACCTCCTTCCTGGGTTCCCACCCACAGCTCAGCCTCTCGCCTTCTTTCTCAGTTGAATTTCCTATCTCCTTTGGGGTAAGAGTCTTTACCCCAGGATCCCACCCCTTAGTGGGGTCACCAACACCTGAGGGATTCGCCCTAACTGCAGGCCCACCCTTGGGGGTCAGTGCCATCATCCCTGAGCTGGGGCGGCAGGAGGGGCCTGCATTTCCTCAAGGCCACATCTGGTGGCTGTGTTTCAGGTCTACCCCACGGCGACGCGAGCGCTGGGCCTGGGCACCTGCAGTGGCATGGCAAGAGTGGGTGCTCTCATCACTCCGTTCATTGCTCAGGTAGGTGTCCCCCCAAGTACAGAGGGGGTGGGTGTGCCCAAAGCCAGCGCGTGGCAGGCAGTTATCATATGCTGAGCCTTCTGTGGAGCCCTCCGTGTGTATTATTGTATTTCACCCTAACAATAATTTATTGTATAAAATACAATAATATTATTGTATTTTATCACCATCTTATGAGGAAAGAAATACGGCTTGCAGATGGGAAAACTCAAACTCAGAAGGGTCAAGGGACTTGCCCAAGGTCACACAGCTGGGAAGTAGGGAAGCTGGGGATCAAACCCAGGTCTTTCCCACGCAGAAGACCCCGGGGGTGTCATATGATTTGGCTAAACATAATTTGGATGGGAACAAGTTGGCCAGCATGATTTGTGGGAAACAAATGTCCCTGCCTCTGGCTTCTGAGTTGGATCATTAGATGTCATTGTAGAATTTTGCAACCCGCTGTGTATCTTGAAGCATTTCAACCCATTTTTAGGGATTTTAAAAAAATATTTTTTATTGATTTCAGAGAGGAAGAGAGAGGGAAAAAGAGAGATAGAAACATCAATGATGAGAGAGAATCATTGATCAGCTGCCTCCTGCACGCCCCACACTGGGGATCGAGCCGGGATCCTTCAGTCTGCAGGCTGACGTTCTATCCACTGAGCCAAACCAGCTAGGGATCTTATTTTGAAATATTTTTACTTTTTACATATCTAATTTACTTTCTCCCTCTTTTTGTCACTTTTTAAAATTGAGACAAAAGTTGTATCACACAAAAAGGAGCCATTTTAAACCAACAATTCAGTGCCATTAAGCACATTCCTAACGTTGTGCAACCATCAGCCCTAGTTAGTTCCAAAACATTTTTATCACCCCAAAAACTCTGTACCCATGAAGCAGTCCCTTCCCACCCCCCTCTCCCTGCAGCCCCTGGCAACCACCACACTGCGTTCTGTCTGTGCGGACTTATCTATTCTGGGTATTTCACGCACCTGGAATTCCAACACGGGCTTGAGCCAAGCAGTTCGGTTCTGCGCTGCTGTGTTTGGCCATTGTATGTCGCTGCTAACTAATACTGGTTGAGAGCCTGCCATGCGCCCGCCCGGTGCCAAGTGCTGCTACGGTATCTTCTCATTAGGAGGCGGACACTGCCCTTGTGCCCATTTGCCAAATGGAGGAAATGAGGTGCAGCCCTGCTGTGATTTTCCTGGTGTCATTGAGCTAGGGAGTCAGCAGAGGCACTGCTCTGAGAGAGAGAGTGTTCATATAAGGAATACAGATGCTTGGGCCTGGTGGGGTCTGGGTTCAAATCCCAAGCCCATCCTTCGTATCTCTATGAACCTGGGTATGATACTTAACCCTCTCTGAGCCTCAGTTTTTCCCTCTGTAAAATGGGGACAAGGAACCTAACCTCATGGAGCTGTCGTGAGGACTAAAGGGGCCAATCAACACAGTGCTTACAAGAGGGCCTGGCGTTATCAGTATCGTCTGAACGGTTGGTGGTCATTCAGAAAGGATGCTCTCACGGACACATATCTTCTCCCCACTGTCCCCCACCCCACCCGCCCCCAGGTGATGTTGGAATCCTCCGTGTACCTGTCTCTGGCGGTTTACAGTGGCTGCTGCCTCCTGGCTGCATTGGCCTCCTGCTTTTTGCCCATCGAGACCAAAGGCCGCGGGCTGCAGGAATCCAGCCACCGGGAGTGGGGCCAGGAGATGGTGGGCCGAGGGACGCACGGCTCAGGCGTCGCCAGGTCGAACTCGGGCTCTCAGGAATAGTGACCTCTGGGGGGCTGAGCTGGTCTTTGAGGCCGTGGAGCGCGGGGAGCTGGTGGAGCCCGTCTGGGGCACCGACCGTCACTGCCGACACCAAGAACTCACCCAAGAGCACAACCTGGACCCCGGTGGCTCCTGTTCATTGAGACCCACCCACGGATGGGGAGGCATTTGCTCCGGGGGGAGGTTCTGGATGTGTGGGGGGAGGCTTGTTAATCACCTGTGGATCTGCATGGGAAAACTGCCACACCGGTGACCCTGGTAGCCAGCCAGACACCATCCAGAGTTAGCCGGCCACACCCGTGCTGAGCAACAACCCAAAGGTCTCCATAGACACAGTCCAGGCCCAGGCACCAACCAGACCTGGTCAGTAGGTTTCTCCTACACCCCAGGCCCCCGGCTTTCTTCTTTGAAATCGCAGGTGACTCGGATGTGGCCTGCGCAGCTTTTTCTTGGGTTGGAGAAACGCTCCCTCGGAAAGGGGCCTCTCGGTTTGCCTCCCCAGGCAGGGCCTGACTCTGGCCGATGGACGTGCATTTGACCTTGAGCCACGTACCCCACCTGGCCCCCTCGGGAGTTGCTGCCCCTGGTTCCAGGGGATCCCAATGTGTCCATGGGGACAGCTGGGCTTGCACCAGACGACAATCCCAGAAAGCTGTTACCCTAGGCACTGGGGACTGGGCCCACAGGGAGGCGAGAACCAAGCCCAAAGCCAAAACAGGGCCCTCCCGTTCGGAAGCAGCGGAGGCCCCGTCGGGGCTTCTATTCCGGCCCCTTCCTCGGTCAGGCGGATTGGGGACTCTTGGGGGAAGAGGACAGTTCACTCAGGTCTCAGCACTTTGGACTTGGAGCTTGGGTGGGCGGAGAAAAACAAATGATGCTACACCAACCGCCCCCTCCCCTTGGGGCCCAGGGGCCAGGAGTCCTTCCCCCTGGTTTCTCTGCCGCCCTTGCTCTCAAGGGTTGGCTCGGTCTCTACACAGAGGCAGCTCTTGGGATTCCAGCAATGGACCCACGGCAGGGGTGCCATGAGCTGGGGAGGAACGGGGGGACCCGGATGTGTGAAACGTGTACATTTTCAAAGGAAGACGAGGAAGGTCGTTTGGGTTCGGGGTTGGCCTTGGAAGGAAGGGCTGACACCCACCTCCTGGATTTGGGTTACGGGAGCCTCCTGCCCACCAGGAAGGCAGGGAACCTAGGAAAGGAGGGAGGAAGCTGCTGGGTCCCAACAAAGGCCAGAGAAGCGTGGCCCTCTGCTTGGAGATGTCTGCTTGAAGTCAACATTGCGAGGAAGCCAAATGTGTATGTTCATCTCTTATTAAAACACGTTGGCCCTAGCCGGTTTGGCTCAGTGGATAGAGTGTCAGCCTGTGGACTGAAGGGTCCTGGGTTCGATTCCGGTCAAGGACACGTACCTCGGTTGCAGGCTTGATCCCCGGCCCTGGGTTGGGGGGCGCATGCAGGAGGCAACCAGTCGATGTCTCTCTCTCTCTCCCTCCGCTTCCCCCGCTCTCTCTGTAGATCAATGGAAAAGTATCCTTGGCTGAGGATAAAAAACAAAACAAAAACATGTTGGTGATGGACATTGCAAGGGACGAAGTTTGTCTGTTTGTCATAATGTCCTAGTGACCGTTCACCCTAATGGCCTTGCCCACTCTGTCCAGCCAGGGTCATCTCAACGCTTCCCTTTGCTCTGATAGGATCGTCTTTCCCATAAGGGGGAAACGCCGTACAGTTGGCTGCCAATATCATGACTTTGGGTCTGTGGGAGGCAACACTTCCTCCTAACGGCGTGGAGGTCACAGTGGGCATCTTCTTCAGGCTCAAGTCCTAGGTCAACTACAAACAATCGAGTGTCCCTGGAATAGGGGCTGCTGCCCCCTCGGCCCAGGCAATCAGTCGGGGAGGAGGCAGCTTGGCAGATCTTCTGCTCCCTGGCACTGGGGGGGCGGGGGGTGCCCTTGAACCCCGAGTGGCTATAGCTCTAATTACTTCTGGTCTGCCGAGCTCTCCTGGGTAACGCAGAACCTTCGCTTGTCCTTTTTGCCTTCCAGCTGGCCAGACACTGCCGGATGAGCATGTCCACTCCCTGTACCCTCAAATAACCCGGAGGGGTGGGGGACTGGTGCGGGGCGGGGGAAGGAGTACTTGGTGGGCAGAAACGTTCTCCAGGGGCTGGAGCAGAGAGGCCGGCGATTGAGAGCTTTCTCTTCTCGAGAAAATGCAAGTGAAAAAATTCTTTGCCTTCTAAATCGCTTGCCCTTTCAAAAAAAAAAAAAATCAATATTACTGAAGGACACACAAGCTGCCACAAAAGTTGCCCAAGCCTCTCGCTGAAGACATTTGCATCTAATTTTGAACCATCCGAAAGCTCCTGTTTCCATGAATGGAAATGTCATCCATTCGTCTGCGTTAGGAAAGATTTCAGAAAATGGCAAAGGATGTTCAGTGTAGCTGGGGTTGCGTAATTTCTTCCCCTTCCTTCAAATATTCTCAGGAACACATCAACGCCCCTGGCGGTGTTGGCAATGGCATGGAAGACTCTCTTAGGGATGGACTTTGATGCGAATACGGACGGTCTTTAAGTAAATATTAAGCACCAGAGAGCCTTGAAGGATGAGTTGAAGAGTCTCCCTCAGTTACTACTAACAGGCATCAAAGGACTGGCGACCTTGAGCTGCAAGCAGCAGTCAAACCAGTCAGTGGTAGCTTCAACCATTAAAATAGTCATTGTTCATTCAACAGCAAGCCCAGAGGCAGGCAGTTCTAGGAAGGGCCCAGCAGCTCAACCGTGTCATCAAAGACCCAACTCCTTTTTGCCGTTCTTTCCTGCTCTCGTCTGCATGTGGGCCGTCTGAAACCTCATGGTCACAGGGGGACTCCCGCAGGGCCGGGCATCGTATTTACTAGCATTTTCACAGGAGGAATAGAACGGGGAAGGAGCAGTCACGGAAGGTTTTCCTTCAAACGGGTCTGTTGCTTTTGGTTAAAAAGGAAGCCCTTCAGCAGACCTTTTACCGTTGCTTCGCATTGATCAGACCTGGGGCCCATGCCCATCCCAGCATGAATTCTTCCCTA